CAGGAATTTCAACGTAAACAGAAGCTGGCCAGCTGGTGTTGTCCTCCATTGATAAATTTCACAGTCACCGAGAGACAGGTTTTTAGTGGCCATGACTCGGCTACGCACAATGCACTCATGTTGCGCACAAGTGTATGTAAATTGCGTAACTGCACCAAAAGCACAACTGTACACATTTATAAGGAAAATCGCTCAGTGATGTCCAACAAGGTTTTTCACTGACTGTTTCAGCAACCAACAGAGACCACTGGGATCATACGGTAAAGAAACCGTGCCCAGCTGAAATTCTACCATTGACGGAGATTTTCAGGCTGCTGTTACGTTATAAGATCTTATAATATAGGTCACAACCATCCCAAAGTACGATCCCAAAGTGAGTGTATTATTGGGCAAGAGTCGTGCAGGCATGTGTCATATACACGTACAAAATTCAGTCTTGACTTGTTATCGAAAAAAAAGCTGTCTTGATAGATCCTTGTCGGCCGTGGCTGGTCTTGTCTCAGCCCGCTTGTAAGTTGTACGACATTTAAAATCGTACGGTTTAGTACAACTTACTTTCGACTTGGTATTTAAAGATGTTTGCTTACGAGAATTTACAGACCTGGGTCAGGGAACTGGCTAGCTGGCCAAACTCTGAGCGGAGTGTGTCCCAAGAGTGACCGGAGTGCCAGAGGAGCACCAAATATATCACTTCGTTAATTTACTCGCTGTGACGTGCGGAGCTTTGGTTTTAGTTACACAAGATACTTAACGAGCCGGACAATTTGTCTTGTCACTCACTTAAAATATTTCGGGGTAAATGAAGGGTAGATAGTTGGTTTTTGGTCTCCGAAGGCGTCGGTTGAGCGGCTGTGTGCTTGGATAGTTTTGTGTGTTCTTTCTGGGTGTTTTCCTTGGAGAGTTCCTGAAAGGGGGAAGCGGGGGCCGCTTGCCACTCCTTACGGGTGACCTCTAGATGACCTCTCCCTCTCAGGCCGTATCGCGGTCAGCCTGGAAATAAATAAGAACCTTCTGACAAATTAACCTCGAGCTGAACCCCCGAGCTGAAAGGCTGTGGAGCGCGGCATCGCCATCAAAACTACATGAAACTAAGATTTGTGACGACAGCCCACTACAACTTTATGCGCTGGAAATAATGCTTTGTTTTGTTTTTACGACCTAATAGCGCTCACCCCCGTTTGAACCCGGCTCCGGTGGAGAGACCTTTGGTTGAACTCTGTGGGCTGCAGGCTGAGGAAGGCTGAACAGAAGTTGTGCAGAAACTGGAAGAAGACTTTTACTACCAGGGCACGCCAAGAGTTTTTGCTACCGACACAACTATGCCCACCCTGGACAGTCTCTCTCTCGCGCGGTCTACGGGCTTACAGTACACCGTACGAACTCTCGCGGTTTTCTGTTCAACCGTTGTCTGCGAAAACTTACTTCCAACCGACGTACTTGTTGCTTTGTGACAGAATGGATGTAAACTTGAGCAAAAATGGACTCTATTCGTAAAGAAAATCTGGCGAAAAGTCAGACGGTATCCCGGTGCCACAACTAGCAGTCCATTGTGTTTCAAAGTACAAAGAAACAAAAATGGTGAACTACGTAAGTCTTACAACTGGTGAAAAAGAATGTGATTTGGATATTACTAGTATATCGTAGCTAAACACAGTTCCTGTATGGCGTGTTGCTCAATAAATGGCCGACCGTCAGTAGGGTTTATATCCGCATGACGTTCCTGTTTTGTCCAGTGTTAGTGTGGGTTCAAACGAAGAGTATAAGTCGGAGCTTCAAAACCGCTAGCGAGCCTACTGCGTTGTGTTCTGAGAGTTTGAGTACTAGTATCTACGTACTACATGATCATAGTTCAGTGTGTGCGGCGGAAGGTAACTCCAACCTCTCAACACTCGAAACTACTGCTATGCAAAAGACAGCTCGTTTGTCCAATTTTACGCGTCCACTACTGTTAGATCTAGCCGTATTGTCATTGCAATGTGTAAGAATTTTAGCAAAACCAAAATAACAACTTCCGGCAGACGGTGAACTAGTCAAATTCACGGTGTTAGCTACGTAGACCTAACTGCCAAGGAGCTCGAGGTTTAAATCTCATTTAACCCCCCTTTATCTGTATCTCACCATTTCTGTATATATGTAGTTTTATAACATAGTCACCAATCGGAGGTTAGACTTAGAGGCCCTATAACTCTAACTTCTAAGTGTGATACCAAGCGACTTGGTCACGATAACTTACAGAAGTCGTCACAGAGTACTGCTGTGTTTTTGAATTTCCAGTGAGTCGAGAGGAAGCTATGTCTCTGTAAAATGTTACCCACCCTCCCTATATATATAACTTTCCCAAGTTAAGGGGAAAACTGAGGAGTTACTGACACCCAACAAGCTACACGAGAGAGGGCGTAACGACAGACCGACTCACCAGTTGATTCTTGTCCGTCCCGCGCGGAGGGTTCGGTCGCCCGACTTGCGGATCCGTGGCCAATTTAGCAATGTAAAGAACGGGGGAAGAAATGAAGCGAAAAACGAGTCAAGCTTTGTCACCGTAGTAAAAACCCACCCTGTTCTGCAACTCGTAAAACTAACGTGCTTTTCTCTTGACAGTAAAAAAAACAGCAAAATTGGTTCTGAATACAAGTATCCTCTGGTGGTGACACTACAGCATTTTAAACTGTAGAATGCGAATGCTTCAGAACATACGGAATATACAGAAACGGAGCTAGACTTCTCAGAACAGTACTAGTGTGAAACTGTGAATGCACACCGAAAAAGTCTACGCATCAATTTGAAACTTTTATTGTCTCTCTAACGTCGACACAGATCTGAGTAACCCACCAGTGAACCGTAAAATTACGAGCTAATAACTTTCGATAATTAGTACGTTTCTTTCACGTCGTATGACAAAAGCTTGATGATTTAGCGGTCACAGGTGGTATGGGGACGAAAGAGCGGACTTTATGCGGTATCTTGTCCGTGATTTTATACCAGTTTTACGCGGGGGTAACCTTCCCTTGCACTGGGCGGGACTCTTGTTTGAAGAAAACAGAAAGTCGTAAAAGAAGCGTGGCCTGAAAGGCGGTTAGGTAGGGAGGCTCGTATAAAAACTTAACTAGCAGATGCCTACTGGGAAACTGCCACATACCGCGGGCACATAAAAACTGCCGGATCAGCTGCACACCACATGCACAGGATTTCCATCAAATGGCTCTTTTTTTTTTTATACTCTCCAAGCAGAGGTTAGGCTTGTTTTGATTTGGACGGCTTTGGGCATTTTGTGTGGCTTCCTTAGCCTGTGACAAACTTCAAGTCAGACTCAGAGGCGACTGTATATTGAATTGGCCAAATAGACAGAGAACGCGCCAAAGGGGAACAGTTTGCCTCTCAGAGCGGACCAACTCCTCTAGCTATTTGGCAAATTTCTGCTCTTCCCAGCCGGAAGCCTGGTAGAGGGAAGGCAACGATTGCCAAAAGCGATAGTATTAAACTCCGCAATGAAAAGAGCGATCACAAACACAGAGCCCCGCCCACCTCCGTCAAACAAAACGCAGAACTATGAAATGAAAACAAAAATGCCAATGCTTCACGAACATGTATAGCCTCTGCCAGGCTTCATGGGAAAGGGTAGAACTTGGACAAATAGACGGATAACATGACAGGGGAGTTTGTCTGCTAAAGGAGTACAGTTTTCCTCTCATTTTGGGAGAGGCATATTGTACTCCTTTGGCGGAAAACTCCTCTGGCGTGTTATCTATCGATTTGGCCAATTTCTACTCTTTCTATCAGCCCCTGAAGCCTGGTAGAGGCTATATTTGACGGGCATGCAGGTCACTTTGTTCTCATTGGTCGAGCGTACCGCTAATTGCCATTCTCTCATTGGCTGAACTGCTAATTGTGCTGCACAGTCACTCGACCTCTCCATAAACGTCCTTGGTGAAATAGAAGCCCCCTCTGGCGCCATTCTCTATATAACTGTTGCAAATCCAACGTTGCTTGAACTTCATATTTTGGAGAGAGAGAACCGCCATGCATTACTAATGCATTAGTCTTATTTCAAATCTGCAAAAATGTATGACTTTTGTTCATGACATTCGTATGTCCGCTCGGTCCTGTCAAAGAAATGTTGTCAAACAATAGGTTAACAATCAAAACAAGAGCTCATGAAATCTTTCACCTCCTGTCATTCTGCCTGTCAATCTACCCCACCCGCGTGTTATCAACCTACTCTATGCGGACAAACGGAGACATAAACCCACAGCACAGCCACCCACAATAATACTAGTACTTCCAAACTGCTGTGCTTCCAAATCATCAAACAAACAAACAAACAAACAAACAAACAAACAAACAAACAAACAAACAAACAAACAAATAAAAGTGCCAGTCGAGTTTCAGTCTCTAAGGATGCATGTATGGTTCGAACTGCAAGTTTCAATTATTTTTCTTTGTCCTTTGTGTGTTGCCTATTTGTTTGCCATCTGTCGGAAAGCTTTAGTGAATTGAGTGGAATAGCAGGTGCATTTTCATCCATCAAAATAGAGGCCACTAAGAGGGTTTATGGGAACGGTTCAAAACTACGAAAACAAGTATGTTATTACCATCATGGTTCGTGTATTGCATTATAGAAAACAGCAGGAGAAAGCATATTGAATCCATTATGTTAATGTTACTTGCTGCTTTGCAAATATTACAGTATGGGCTATGAAGATAAAAGAAAGACTTATCCCGTAAACTACTTTATATCCACAAATTGGAGGTCAGGTCACCGTCTGGACAGACCCACAATGCTAATCTTCAAGCAGATGTAAAGAGGGAAGATCATATCGCTTTGTTATGCCTACAACCCAAGTAAATATTTGGATGGAAGTTTTGCCTAAATGACTAATTTAGAGGGCTGTAGAATCCCGTACTCAGAAAATCTAAACACTACAATCTTCGTAAAACTTTAAATAACAGGAATCTACCACACCAACATCTGCTTGGAGGCTACCCACAATCCCCCGCCCCGCGCATGCCCACTCCCCGGCAGCAAATGTTGGCAATTCAAAAACTCGACCATTTTTCCCGGACGTGTTTGACGATCTTCTGGCGGTTTTCATGACCTTCCGGCGGGTTCCTGGGTCGCGTTTGTGTCCCGATGTAGCCAGAAGAACCCATACAGCATGAAGGAGATGGTTGGCGGGTGCTGCGTTTGCTCAGACGAGCACGGTTGGGCAGAGAACCCGCTGGTGTATTGTGACGGGCACGGGTGTAATGTGGCTGTCCATCAAGGTAAAAAAAAAAGATCGTCCTTTTTTTGTTCCCCCCTCCCCACGTTGTTGTTGTTATACGTGACCTTGGCTTCGTTGTGTTATAAAAACAGTGGTGTATTGTGCTGTGGAAGCTCGTGTGGAGGAATTTGGAGGAGAATATTTAGTTGTTCTGTTTGGCGGGAGCAGGTTTTCACGGTTGGCTGCGAATAATTGGTTCGGTCCTACTCCAGGGAAAATTTTTTCACCATTTTTCGCATTTTCCTGCCCAAATAAACGTATTTCTTCGCAATCTGAAGCCTTCAGATGGCTGAATTTCTTCCCATTGTGTTGGAATTATTACGATGTGGTGTTTACGTAGTGGCTTTTGAGAATCAAAACACTCTGGGACTAGTGTTTACATTTTTGATCAGCTGACATCTATGGATTAGCACATGGTCCATAATAGCCTGTTTGTTTTGCTTGTTGTTTGATCTCATGCCTGTGGTTTCTTTGCAGAATGTCTACAATATGATGTCTGCAAGCAATATTGCTATTGACAGTCATGAAATAAAATTCATCCTGTTTTTTGTCGTTTTTTTTGCAGCGTGTTACGGAATTGTACAAGTTCCAACGGGGTCATGGTTTTGTCGGAAATGCGAATCGCAGGAAAGAGCAGCACGCGTGGTGAGTTTGTCTGTTTTGCTTTTATAATGCAACCGAAATGACCAATTTACCAGCCAACAGTGTTCGTTTTGTGTATTACATAAATTTCACACACAACATCATTGATTAACTACCATGTGCAGATCTTGAGATATAAAGCCCGAAAGTTTAATTGCAGTACCTTAACAAGCTGCCAGGGTGCCCAAAATCTAATTATAAAGGCCTACCTACTTACCAGATATGAAGACAATCCATTTTAAGTGCATGTGTGTTGACACACACGCCCACACTCATGCACACACACACACACACACACACACACACACACACAAATGCACGCACGCACACATACACACACAAACACACACATACACAAAAACAGACACACACACATACACACACACACACACACACACACACACACACAAACTAACTAACAACTAACCTTGATCAATCAGTCGTTTATTGACCAACATAGATTCTTTTATGATATTCAAAGTTTTTACATACATGTACATCTACCTATACAAGGTTTAAACTACACATGCACAAGGTCAAATTTCAAGGCCACTTACTTGTAAACAGTTCTTGTATAGACCATGCCAGTGAGCACATAATAGTAATATGGCAGACACAGAAAGCCGGTGTTGAGTATCCATTGATGAGTACATACAAACCAACAGTAAACAGTCTTTTTCTTCGTCTGTTGTTTAGACCATGCTTTAATTATACATGCCCAGACATGTTTTGTTTATGTGTCAGGGCTTTCCACTTTGACATGTTACCCACCATGCATAACACTGCACACCTGCAGTTTGAACTGTGAAACGGTTTATTCGGTTTATTCATACGTGTCTTTGTGACTTTTGTAATTTCACGTAGATGGTTTTTCTTTTGTATCTAAACAATACTGACAAAAATGACATAATATGACAGGACAAGATAATGTTAATTTATTACTTCTGAGTATGGAAGTTTTGTTTTGGGTGGCTGAGCTATGAGTGGCATAAAGTATCTTTCCCAAGGGCAAAACATTGGGATTCAAACCCAGAACCTCTAGATTTGAAGTCAACAACCCTTGCTCCAAGTCCAAGACCATCATAATAAATGTTAAAATGTACATTAGTCTGTTGTCCCTTTAATTTTTTTTTTGACAGTTTTCATATGTTTAACTTTTCATATCTTCAGAGAGGCTTTGTTACTAGAGCTATGTTCAGGTCCAGACCTGTACCTAAGTATTTTTAATATTTTAAGTATTTAGCCCAACTTGTATTTATTCTGAACAAAGAGAAACGTATATCACATGGCCGTCCCAACTATAGGTGACCTTTACGTAGCTGTGGATAATAAGCACACAATGCATGTACACAATGACGTGCTTGTTTTGTTAGATCAAGCCTTTGTCCCGGGCTTGCCAGTTTGTCCCACGAGCAAAACTTCACCTTGTTATTTCTCTGATCTTAAAGGAGCTCTTAAGTCTGAAGTAGGTACATGTATTATGATTATAACATGTAGTAAATTAGGCCATACAAATTTAATTTGTTAGTTCTTGGATTTGAGAAAAAAAGAAGCAACAGGGCAAAAAAACAGGCCCCAATTGGTACAATAGAATACGAGCCGTGAAGTGAAACAAAGAATTTTAAAAATAATGAATTTTTAAAACAAATAGCTGCATTGATAAACTAGAGTTCAGATCTCATACCTCCATGAAATGTTAAATGCTTTTGTAAATCTTATGCATGGTGATGACCACCTGTAAATGGGTTACATTTACAATCCTGCTCATTAGCAAAATTTTTATGCAAAGTATTTACATGGCCCCTACCTAATAACATGCAACACACTAAATCCTTATCATTTGGCATGGACAAGGTATGATGTAGTTGGTTATATGCAAGATAGAGACTAATTTTCAGGTTTCATACACAAGAGTTCCGCGACCTCATACCTTTGCCAAATCATGTTAACAGTTCAAACTGACTAATTACACATTTTGTCATGGTGATTGTGCAAATCATAAGAACCTCATTTGAATGAATTATATCAGTTGATCATATTTTCCACCCATTGACAGTCATATCATAAGAAGCAAGGGTATTCTAGCATTTTGTCATAAGTCAGCAGACTAATGGGAGAGTTCCACTTGTGGTGTGTAACATGATATCAGTATTACTCCCCCATGTAGACCCTTCCTACATGTATTTTACTTTACTTAAGGCCACACCAATTTAATTTGTTGGTTCTCGGATTCGCCTCTTCGTTTTTTTCTGATTTGCAAAAAAAAAAATTGATTCTTTTCCTGAATCAAGTGAAAAATGCTCATGTTTTGCCCCCCAACAGTTGAGGAAAGTCCTTTTCTTCCTAGTTGTTACAGTTTTCTCATCTATCATTGCAGTGGTTTGATTAAAAGTTCAAAATTCAATGTTTAAATTTTAACCCAGCCTTTTGTGTTGACTTCATGGCTCATTTCGTACCATTTAAGCCTATAATAGGATGCCTAGACCTGTTTTTATTTTTATTTTTTTTCGCCCTGTCGCTTCATATTTTTTCTGAAAAAATCCGAGAACCAACAAATTAAATTGGTGTGGCCTAAGCATGAATATTTTCCGCACAAATGCTAGAGATAGCATGTCAAGATGGCTAATTGTTGAAAACATAACAAGACAATTTTCACCATGGACAGACTTTCTATATTTATATTTTCTGCTGTTATAGCTTCCTTCCTAAGTCAGATTTCATGATTTATGAAGGGTCACAGGGTAAAATAAACACCCCTGGGTTGGTTGAAAGACAGTGTAGGGGGCTAAACCACAGCATAAGGGGCCCAAATCACAGTGTAGGGGGCCCCTACGTTCAAACAGCGTAGTGAGAACTCTGAACATGTTGTTTGTTTGTTTCAGAAATGCGAGCTGTGTCCTCACAGAGAGGGAGCACTCAAGAGAACAGACACATCAGGTAAGTCTTGGATTTATACTTCTTTCCTGAAAAAAATGAGAGAAAAATATACATACCAGGATAAGATTAAAGGGGAGGTCCAATACTTTCAGTTTTGGGGCCTTTCTACCCAAAATCCTATTTGTAAATGGTGATTTATTGGTTTCTGCCAACCCCGCACATATTTGCCGTGATATCTGACCCGCTCGATGTTTCGCGGCTAGCGCCAGATTGTCCGCTAGGCGGCGCTGCGACTGGATCTGTGACGTAAAAGGTTTCATTGGAACAGAGTTAGTACACAAGAAGAGCTTCCACTGGCGGGTGTGTTCAGACCATTTCGAGCCTGGATGCTTCACGCGAACGTCAGTCTCAATTCCTTTCTGTTGGGCATATGGGCGGTCGATATGAATAAATCCGTCAAAGGGTCGAGTAAGTTGCAATGTAAACAAACTGCGGTATTCGCGGTACCGACCTGTTAGATACAGGCTCCTGCACGCCCTGCCGGATCAGATCCCACCGAAAAATCAGCAACGTTCGGAGGTTTGCCGGGTGCAGAATCACATCGAAGTCAGGGTGGTTTCTAATGCATGGGTGGTCTGTACCGACGTTCTTTTCAGTGTCTGTCAGCTCTGGCAGGTCGTGACAACAAACACTCTCCCGTACAGAGGGCATTTCCAGGCAGTTTCTATTGTCTTCGTTTCCACACCAGCACCAATCCCGGTTCTCCAACCCTCTGTCTCCACATCACCTCCATCCCAAACGTTCTCATCGCCTGGATCGGGGTCAGAGTCACCACTACTGTCCGTCTGTGGCTAAAAACGGAAGGGTTGCACGCCCGCCATTGTTGTTTACGTTAGTAGCAGAATGAAACCTTTTACGTCACAGATCCAGTCGCAGCGCCGCCTAGCGGACAATCTGGCGCTAGCCGCGAAACATCGAGCGGGTCAGATATCACGGCAAATATGTGCGGGGTTGGCAGAAACCAGTAAATCACCATTTACAAATAGGATTTTGGGTAGAAAGGCCCCAAAACTGAAAGTATTGGACCTCCCCTTTAAGGATCAAACCTACAATATGCTCATTTTTTGGTTCATTCCAACAGTTGGATTTTTGCCTTGGAAGTTCTTTTTCAATATAATATATTCTTTGAAACTTTTACCAGCCTGGTAATATATATATGTTGACTTTGTGGCTCCTTTGGTGCCATTTGAGTCTATCACAGGATGCCTGTTTCATTTTTTATTTTGCCAGCATGATTTCGAAAAAAAAAGTTTCATTTCTTTGCCATTGTTTGCTGTTCTCTGATACAGTTGTTGTCACCAAAACACCCGGTAAAGCATCGAAAGACAAAAAGGACGCGTCCAACACAGAGATAACCTGGATCAAGGCTTCGAGTATGGACATGTTTAGTACACGCAAATACTGGTGGTGGATGTTGTATAGTACATTAAGTAGAGTGGATTCATTCCTCAAGTTAACCGACATCTAGCACACTGCAGTCGTCCCTCAGTAAGACTAAGACATCTGGAGCCGCATAGTTCCCGTTGTTCAGTACTGAAATCCTAAGAAACAGTTCTAAAGGTGTTGCTTGTTTTCGGTGGCTGTTTTCGCTTGTCAGCAGTTATTTTAATGCAGTAGAGGGGAAATGGTGTAACCACAGACTGACAGGAAGGTCAAATAAGGTCAAATGGTTTATAGGAGGGAAATAAGGGGCACTTTAGACTGACGACGGTTCGATAGTCGTACGAATGTTTATCGTCAAGATGTTGCCGGCGACGGTATTTTACCACCGTCTAAAGACGATCAAAATAGTCGCACGACGGTAATCCTCGAATCGTCGTCACTACCACCTCGGACCCTATCGTGCGATCCTTCAGCGGGGGGTCCGAGCAGGATTTTCCACCGTCTAAAGCGAACCGTCGCTGGCGAAGGAAGTGGGAGGTCATTGGCCTTATGCAAATAAGCCTGCAAGCGTTATTTCATGTCCAAGCACATCGCCTGTATCATTAAATGTCGTCAAAACCAAAGACTTTATAATTGTATCGTCATACGTGTCTAGTACAATCCCCTGCCACCAATCGCTACTTCTCCAGTATGAACCGATCCACATTTCCCGGCCAATGTAGCCAGGCCGACGGCAGCACCGAACGCCTGGTTCAAACCCGGAGTATTGCCCCGCTCGGTACATGTGCCTCATACCCCGTCTTGGCTGGGCACAAACTCGGCGTCTTGTCAACAGGACAACGAGTTAAAAGCAGAATAAAAACAATCTGCTGCAGCATGCCGAAAAAGGGGTTCTCTCGCCATTTTGAATTGGCGCGCGGCGTGCCATCCTGCGCTGCGGGCGTCCGCCACACTTTATGGTCATGTGTCTAAAGCCAGCCGTCGCCCACAACGATTGTCGTCCGATCGTATACCGTCGTCAGTCTAAAGTCGGCCTAAGTCTCATTTATTGTCTTCAATTTCCTGCTACATGCATGGTTGTTGCCTTATGGGAGCCAGTGGGAAAATGCATGCTGTAAATCGCTTTGTCTTCACGTTTGCAATATTTCATATCCTCAAGGAAAATGGGCCTGTTCACGGAACTTATTCTTCACCATGGTGCCAAGTGCAGGAAGAAGATGAAACGCAAATGATTTGATTTCATGACAGAAAAGTGAACATGACAACAGTGAACAGTACCCTGAAAAAATCATGGATTACAGTAAACATGTACAGCCTTTTTATGTGCAGAATCAGCAAGAAATTCACACTGACTGTAAACACAGAGGTGTGGAATCTCTGATTTCTTGTTGTGACTATATTCATGTTTGTTGTTTCCCTGCAGGCTGGGCCCATGTGATCTGTGCTCTGTACATCCCAGAGGTCCAGTTTGGAAATGTTGCCACCATGGAACCTATCATCCTAACTATGGTGCCAAACGACAGGTTTAACAAGGTACGACTTAGAGAAAATTATCTTGTTTTTAAAGTAAGAATATGTAAATCCTCATGCAAATTTGCCATGCAGGACTCGAAATACTGGGTGCATATGCGCCTTAAAGTGCAGGTAAGATTGGAGCTGTACAGGTATTTCTCATGTGTACCTGCACATAACCTGCACTGGGCCCACTTTAGGTCCTATCTGATGGACATCCCTAACCATAGCTAGTAGGTACTCATTTTCACCAGTCCAGTGAGGAAATAGGTGTAAAGCGTCTTTGGGCACAACACTGGAGCCTGCTAGGGATTCGAACCCAGAACCTTTGAATTCTGACTCTACAACCTTAACCACAAGACTACCATGCCTCCTCCCAACACATGTTGTTGGTATTGTTTACAGATATGTTACATCTGCGAGGAGTCTGGACGAGAGAGCAAAGCGAGTTCAGGCGCGTGTATGACATGTAACAAGAACGGGTGTCGACAGTCCTTCCATGTTACATGGTAAGTTTTTCTTGTTGTTTATTCACTTTTAAAGTAATAAAGTTCAACATGATTTCTGTGTCTGAGCACAATTTTTCTAGTACTGACTGACAGTTGAGTTGGCTACGTCCAAAGCTCATATTTTCAATGAATTATGTGTACTTAATTACAATTCACATTGTATGACACTTGTTTTTTAGAACATGTTGGAAAACAACTCTAGAATCATGTATGCATGCCAGATAAAAATTTTATGTCCCTTACTAGCGGTCAACTTCCCAAAAAAGGCTTATGTTGGCAAGTTTCTGCTAGGATTGGTCGGATAACCATAAATGCATTTTTCCTAGGCCTAGTTACCAACTTCTTACTGGACTCAACATTCTATGCAAGCTGTAGTCACTTTTTTGACAAAGAAAAATGAAGAACGGATATGACTTTACTGTTAGAAACCTGATCTTCCTTCCTCCCAACATGATTACAGGTTTGGAACTCCAACAGGGTCTGTCTTAGTCTTATTTAGTTATTAACCCAAATGTGGGGCCTCTGACTTGACAACTCTATTCACCATGATGGATTTGTCCATTGTGATGCCTAGAGCACTGGCTTCTTTTGACTTCATTGTCTCTGTTGGAACCAAGACAGCAAAAATAGTCTTAAAGGGAATAGAGTTTCTCTTAGTTTGATCCTTGTAAAATTTTCTTGTAAAGAATTGTCACTGCAAATGTTAAGAAAAAATTGTATGCTTTTTACTTCCTAATGTTTAAGGCTAAAGTATATGTTTTGTAGACTTTTTACGCTTGTCAGTTCCGATAAACCATCATGATGTGCTATACCCTAACACAAAAACTCAATTTGCATACACTACAATGACGTAATGATAAGCATTCAATATTGTATACTCGTTTCTAAGCATTCAAGTTTTTCATTATATGTCCTCATTTGATTGATGTTTATGGAACTCCTACGTTTTTTGTCTTTTTCGAAGTATTGGTTCATATTACAAACCCCCCAGGCTACCCCAAAATATCGAAAAGAACAGTATGAAACTGTTGTCTGCTATTACAAATTATTCGCTTACTTAAAACTCTCCAAAACTTCCTAACAATGTGTACTACCATTCACTCAAACCCAGTATAAGTATACAGTGTGTTTTGTAAGAAATTTTGTTAGAAGCCCTTTTTGTTCTTCTTTAGATCTGATCTCTTCCAAAGTTTGTTGTATCGAATGTCACAAGTGACAAGTTGCATAATTAATCATGTAGATAAAGAACAACAAGGAAAGGGGGAGGGGGCTTCAGTAGCCATCTGTCATCACAAGATAAGATCTGTGGAAATCAATGCTTTTCAGTTGCCAGGATGATTATGGATGTGAGAAAGATTGATAACCAGTCTTTATGCTTTGTTAGTCTCAGGTTTTGTACTTTAAGATGTGAATCTTACATCTGTAATTGTCTAGTTAGACTTTTTAAGTGCTTTAAGAAATTTGAGAAGTGACATTTGAAAAGTGATTTTCTCAGTTTTGAGAAGCAAAAACTTTTGTTTTACCCTTGATTTCAACATATCTTTTTCCCCTTTTTCGACAATGGATTAAGATGGTTGTAAATCAAGTGTAAAAAGAGCTGTCAAATGTATGGCTTTCTTAAAGAGGGTTTGTTACTGTACACTTACATTATTAGTTTGCATATTTTTGTGGCGGCCTTTCGCCTCAAACTCGTAAAAAGGCAAATACTTCAATTGTGTAACTGTTGTTTATGGTCATTTAAACCAAGAACTCTTCTTTATTACACTTTTAAGTGCTACAAAGTACATGGCTAGCTATTCTATCAAATGTTGATTGAGAGCCTGCGTTTTCTGTGATAGTAACTGAAGGCTGTCCTGTCAGAGGTTGATTGAGTGCCTGTTATTTTGGGCTTACCCTGCTATTGTATAGGCTGTAGGAGTGACAAGCGTACTGTAGAAAGTGTCTGACTACTTGGGAAAGGAAATAATGGATTTTACACTCCTGTGATTCTGTCAGGTCAGACTGAAATTAGGATATACAGCAAATACAGGAGTGACTGTGATGGAACTGTGATGATTGGGAAAAGAATGGAGGAAAGATCCATTTTAAGTGTTAAATTGAAAGTAAATTTTGTGGGGTCAAATGTCCGAGTGGTTAAAGTGAGTGGACACAAGACAGAGATTTCACAGGTTTGATCCCTTGCATGCATGGCTTGACATTGTGTCCTGGGGAAAGGCACTTTACATGACTTTCCTCACCCAACCCAGGTGCAAAATGGGTACCTGACTTTGGTTGGGGAGGTAAGAGGCAGTGGAAGGATAGGCCCTGGACACTATTTTATCCTTTGCCATAAACTGTTCTGTTAACAGAAAGAAAGATCTTGTGCATCAGGCATGGAAGGCTTGAAAAAAAGATACAGAAAAGTAAACAGTGCAATATGCACAACCAAATGAGAATCATTTTGCTGTAAATTCTTTCATGAAATTTTTTAGGAAAAGTTTATGGTGTAGATGAGCATGGCTCAAAACAAGAGAACCTTGAAACAGTGTAAAACAGCCCTACTCAATTCAGTCTACAAAGACCAACCACCACTGATGCAGTACTGGTAGCTGTGTTAGGGGGAGCCCATGTGCTGTACATTTGTGAAATGATATGATAACTTGTACTTGTTATGAGATGCCACTCTCTTGGCAGAAGTCTGAAATATCCAGTTTGTTGGTAAAATTGTCTGATTTTGTGTTCTCTCCAGTGCTCAGATGGGAGGTCTTCTCTGTGAAGAGCAGGGGAACTACCAGAATGTGAAATACTGTGGCTACTGCTCACATCACTACTCCAAACTGGTGAAAAATGTAAGTAGATGGACAAACCTGTACCTGTATGTTATACCGGCCCCTCCTATAAAATCACTTGTTCATTTCTGTACTTTAGACAGTTGCATGTTGTTTTTTTAGGTTACTTCCCTTTTTACTAGCCAGCAATTGCAGAATAAATGTTCTGTGACTAAAATTGGATTTATGTGACACACAAGTTTATATATTGGGGCAAAAATTCGACTAAAAAACAACAAAACACACCGTTCAAATGTGTATGTGACTATGTTTGTTTTTGACTATCATACAGGTAGGTTAGAGTATCTGATATTATTGTTATAACCATCATCACTTTACCAATGCACATCCATACGTTTTTTTTTTTGCTTCAATTTGTCGGCAATACAGATAACCAGATATATACAATAGTCCTTTTTGTGTTTTCAATTTAATATGTTGAAATGGTTTACAAACTTTAAATGAACATACATGTGTGTGGAGAACCAATGTATTGCTGGGACAACCGCATTTTCTAATTCATTGGCAAGAGGATTTTCCTCTAGAAAAGAAACAAACAGGACTAAACGAATGTAAAATTGGTGCTTGGCTCTCTGTCTCTTACTACCTTACTCCTGCTTGGCAAGCTCTTTTTTGGCGACGCCTTGTGGGCGAAGCCTTTTCTCCTGGTGCAAATTGGGCTTCCAAAGTGTGCTGTGTAGTGCAGATTTGGGCCGTGGTTTAAAATGTGGCCCTCTGTTGTCCCATGCAGGAACTTGGTTTTCTACAAGGTCCAGTCGATCCACAACAGCCAGTGAGTATGCCTGACTCAGATACTGTAAATTGTAAAGCTTTTGCGGTGGTTTTATATAGTAGAGTGGATTCATTCCTCAAGCTAACAGACCTCTATCACACCGCAGTTGTCCCTCAGTAAGACATCTCTTCACATCCAATGTATTACCACTGTACTACAGATTGTCTCAAATGCAAATGTAAGACACTGCAAAAAAAACTCCATTATTTTCCTCTTACAGTGGAATAAAACCACTGCAAAAGTAATTGAATATACATTAACGACCTTGTTCTTCTTGTTTGCGGTTTTACAGAAGAAAGATTCCAACATCAAGCCCATCCCAGCGTTTAGATACCAGCTGTCGGACTCCTACACATCCCCGGACCGCCCCACCCCGGCGCCGTCAAAACCCCAGCAGAGACATAAAAAAGCCGACCGTGAGAAAACGGTGAAACCCAAGAAGTTAAAAGTGGCGGAGACGGCCACGACGTCGGCCCCGGACACCCCTCCTAGCTCCAGCCCGGCAGGGATGAACAGTATGTTTAGCAGCTCGCTCAGGAGCTTGGAAGAAACTACGCAGAAGTTCACGAGCGCGAACTTTATCGAGAGTCCCGGACCTCCCCAGCTGACGCCCATCCAGCCGAACTACGAAGGCCCGCCGGTTGTGCTGAAGAAAAAGCCTGGGAGAAAACCGAACAGCGCAAAAAACGCGAACCAGAACCACAATCAGGACAAAAACTCGGAAAGCTCCATCACGTCCGCGTCAGAATTCCACGGGTTCACCCCCATGGACACGAGTCAGGATTCCGACAAGCAGTCGCGGACGTCGGACGACAATAACTCCAAGCCTCCCACGCCGCAGCCCCGGCCGCCATCTTTGACATCAAACCACTCCAGCGCGTCGGGTCCCTCAGAGCCGGCCAATCAGAGAGTGGCTACGCCCGTCTCCGTGGCAGCGACCACGGTTTCTGTGACGACCACGTCAGCCATATCAACCACGCTGTCGAAATCGGCCGTTTCCCCACACCAGGCGTACGAGAGCAGTTTCCAGGACTTTATCAAATCCAAATACGGCACGGCCGCCTCCAACTTGGGCTCTCCCTCCAGCACCACCACAGCGGTCGCTACAGCAACAACGACAACAACAACGGCCGCGTCACTAACACCAGAAATCTCCGCCACGATCACCTCCCAGGCTGTCAAGCGGCCGCGGGCCGCCAAGTCAGGCGACAAACCCGAGAAGAAAAAGCACAGAATAAGCAAGAAGAAGCACGACGGTCCCGGGAGACCCCCCAAGACGAAAACAGTGAAAGAGCTGGTGACCATGCAGCAACAGGCAGTGGAGAACGCGCAGCGGGCGCTGCAGAGCCCCACGGGCATCCAGAGCGGGTACTCCAACCGGGACAACGTGACCACTATGTACGCCAGCGCGCTGGGACAGCAGAACGGCCCGCTGTCCCAGGTTTCACCCACGCAGTCTACCTCATCCAACACCTCTCCCCGTATCCCCTCAGGTAGGGACCGTCTCATAGATTCTACCTCATCCAACACCTCTCCCCATATCCCCTCAGGTAGGGACTGTCTCATAGGTTCTACCTCATCCAACACCTCTCCCCATATCCCCTCAGGTAGGGACCATCTCATAGGTTCTACCTCATCCAACCTCATCCAACACCAGTTTTACACAGTATATAAAAGCTCTGTAGACTGTAAGGTTTGAAGTATTCACCCTGGGATGGACACCAACTCTTTAGATAAGAGTGTTGGGTTCTTTGCTTGAGGGGTGGCACTCCTCAAACACCTCCGACATAATGTCCAATCCAAGTGGACCCAAATATCTATGTTCAAATTTCCAATATTTGGAGAAATTTAACATTGGCACAATTGCTGCCAACTTTACTTACAGTGCCAGGACCCAGAGAGGTGGAAGTTCAAACAGATGGCCAAATCCGGTTCTCGTACATACCCCTCGACGGTCCGTCTCAGACAGATGAGCGTTTCTTAAGTTGTCATACTATAGAGACTTTTCTGTTGGTGACGGTTTCTGCCCTATATTTTAGTGAAATCCCTTGCAGTTTCAGTGTATTTATGTGCACATCAGACTTTCTTGGATTAAGGTCAGATTGAAACTTGTAATGGGGTTTATAAGGAGAAACATTCTGAAAACTTTGCAGTTGGAAGTGGTGCTGGTTGTATGAGGGTCATAAGTCTGTGCACGCCAGCAAGCCAGTGGAACTTTGTATAACCCATGTGTTAACGCATTTAAATGAGCTTTATAACAGTTACTGTTCTTATTTCTAATTGTATATTGTCCAGTTACCAAGGCTAACCCTTTAAAATAGCCTCTGGCAAGTCCTGGCTGTACACGTAACAGTATGTCATTTTATACAGCCTAGTAAATAAATGAAATAAAACTTCTTACTAAACCTACTAAAAATAAAATGTGGTACCTTCAAATATTGATTTTGAAAAGAAACATTGTTATAAGTATTTGCCGTCTTCGGTTTTTCCCTACTCAGGCGGTTTGCTGAGCCAGATGCAAGCGAGGGACACGCGCCCTGCCCACCCCTACCAACTCAACATGAACCATGCCACTTTCTCCAGTGAACTGCTCAGAAGAAGAGGTGATTTTGTCACATGTATTGGTAGTACTGGTTCTTCCTCTGAGGAATCACCAAAAACATTACTTTATAATGGCTACTGTAAAGTGTTCTAGTTAGCCTGAATTTTTTCTGTCATCTCAATTTTGACCTAAGGGACTGTACGATATTTACCGGGGGGGGAGGGCTGGTGCACTGGGGGGGAGGGCCATTGAAAAATATTTTGGCCTGGGGGGAGGGCCATGGAAAAAAATTTTGAGCCGGGGGGAGGGCCATCGAAAAAAAAATCGGCCTGGGGGGGGAGGGCCACCGAAAAACTTTTGTAAAATATGGCGTCGCGTTGTACCGAATTACAAGAAATACGCCGTAAATTCCCGAATATAGGACGCACTTTTTACATTTTTCAAAATCCCAGAAGTGTCTCGGGCCGTCGCCAAAGTCGCGGTGCGTACTTTATTTGAGTTTTCCGCCGACAAATCCGTGGACGACCCAGGAATATAGCGGAACACCAGCACGGTGAGCTTGGAACATCGATCGTCCATAGCATGTTTTGATAAAAATATTGACGAGTGGAAATAAAGTTAAACTTCAATAAATGAACATATTTCCTGTGACTATCGTCGATATTGACACCAAGTTGCGGTAAAAGAAGAAGTCAAGTCACCCACGGTAAGAAAATGTAGGTCTCTGGCAATGACGC